AAGGTCTTACTGGTTTTCTTTCTCTTTAGGTTCTAGCACCCTGACACTGGGCACAGTTCTACTTTCTTTCTCACCAGTTTTTCTTAACAGATTTTCCCCCTTGGTTTCTCTCACCAGAAATGGAAGATGTAGCAGGCCTATCCACCTAAGTGGTGCCCAGTTAAGTCATTTTGCCTACCTGAGGAATTTCATTTTTTATTTTGTTTTTTTAATAAGTGGAGGGTGTTTATATGCAAGTTTAGGTGGGTTTGTTTTTTGGGGTTTTTTAGCCCCTAAAATATGGCCATGTTTTTGTTAAATAAAATATCTGGTATCAGCCAAGAAACTGATTAACATATGGGCCATCATGACCAAAAATAATATGACCAAAAAAAAAAAAAAAAAACCCACAAAGCACCTGAAATCCACTTTCATTATTAATATTTGGTTCATTATCAGCATTCTGAAGAATGATGAAGTCACTTCATATATCACAAAATTTGAGAATTCTCAGACATTAGGGACAAGTATTTAAATCTCTCCCTGTATTTGTCCCAGGCTATTCATCAAAAGAGAGAAAGTAAATCAACAACAAAAACAACAAAAAATGCTGTTGTTGCTATTTAGAAAGCAACTGTTCAGTGTCTGTGTCAGAAAGCAAGCCCAAAGAGAGAAGCTGCATTGTTGAGATTTATTCTGTTAATGGACTGGCAAAAAGAGATAGCTATAAACTCCTCTTGGCACCAAAAGTCTAGGCTTGGAGCCAGTAGATTCTTAAGGTTTATTTGGAGCAGTGCACATCTTGTCAGCCAGCAGAGTGGACGATTTAAATACCATCCTCTTCACACAGATATCTGAGTTGTCCAAGGGTGTGAGGGTGTGTGTGTGTGTGTGTGTGTGTGTGTGTGTGTGTGGCAGGGGTAGGAGAAAGCTGACAAATTTAGTTAAGGAAGTAAAAATCCCCTTCCCTAAAGCTTGTGTCTGAATAATGATACCTCTCCAATCCTTCATCCCCAGACTGGTTATCATTTAAGAGCCAGAATATTCTTAAGCAAATATAGTCATAATTCTGATATGTTGATAACAAAAAGTATCAGAGAAATTCTAATCTTGTCAAGAACTGATACAAGAGGGGATCCCTGGGCGGCTCTGCGGTTTAGCGCCAGCCTTCGGCCCAGGGCATGATCCTGGAGACCCGGGATCGAGTCCCGCATTGGGCTCCCTGCATGTAGCCTGCTTCTCCCTCTGCCTGTGTCTCTGCCTCTTTCTCTCTCTCTCTGGGTCACTCATGAATAAACAAATAAAAAAATAAAATTGTAAAAAAAAGAAAAAAGGAACTGATACAAGAGAATATTCTATATAACCCGTAAACTACAAAAGTAATAGTATTGAGTTACTCACACATAAATATCAAACTTACAAGTAATAAATCCATGTAAATTAAAGCACTCAAGAACATCCTGCATCTATCCCTGTCCTGCAGAGAAAAACTGCTTACTCAATCCAAATATTTGAAGACAATCTGACCCAGAGTGTTATATCCTCTTCAGAAGATGCAAAGAAGTTTACTTCCTCATGGACATACAGTGGCAATTATTCCCAAAATTTCATCCATGTTCTCCCTTCAACCAGAAGCTTTCAGCCTCAATCCACAGGTCTCACTTCCCAATCTGACCCCCTGTTAATTCAGGAATGAGGAACTGGCCATTTGGTGGACAGGATTAGGGAAGGTGCCTTCCTAAAGTTTAGAATTACAACTCAGATGACATTTTTACTTGTGGGAGAAAAAAATAAAAGTAATGTTACTATTAATACTATAAATAAAAAAAAATACTATAAATCAAATGGCTCCTGATTGCTCCCTTAGAACCCAACAGCTTACGATAGTGTACCTATATAAAAAAACAAGCTGAGGTCAAGCTTTAGAAGTTAAATCTTATCCAGGATGCATTATATTGCAACTTTAAAAAGCACCTAATATACTTAATAATACCTTCTCATGCAAATATTCAGAGAATCCTCCTAATAATACAATGCTTTTGGCAGAGAATACATTATTATATTCAAACTTCAAATGGTGTCTGTGCCACAGAAAGTTTAAATGACTTGCCCAAGCTCATCTCATTAGTAATGGAAATGCTTTCCTTTAATGAACTAGTGAGGTAGACCTGCCCCCACACTCCCAACTCCTTCTGTAAGTGTCCAAATTCCTATTTTGCTTCATCATTTCCAGCCCAAATCCTTTTCTTTTCATGAAGATAGTCATGATGCCCATGCACCTCCCATCAGTGATAGTGATGTGTTCTTTCTTTGACCTCATACCATTTTATCTCTGTTCCTACCAAAAGTAAACAGATTTGGAATCAGGAGTTTTAGGGTGAATTCTTGATTATTTACTATCAGGATGATCCTAAGAAGTAAAGTAACCATGGTAACCACCTGAACACTAGTTTTCTAATTATTTATAGTAGAGAAAACAGAATATATGCCCATGAAATTATTTGGAAATTTAATTTTGATAAAACAAGTAGGAAAGAACTATGTCAACTGTAAAGCCCTGTAAAAGCTACTTTTTCATATATATACTTTTTTCTTTCTCATATACAATTTTTGTTTCCCCTATTTTATTTCCTTGAAGAAAGAATCCAATGAATTCTTGGTTCTCTCAGAGCATTCAATGTGGGCTTCACAACAGGCATTTGATATAAACTTGCAAAATGAATGAGGAACTGAAGGTACGACTACATTAAAGAAGTTTCATAAAGCAGAATGTTCACCGCAACCTGCTAAATGCGGGAGGCCAAAATCTGACTTCGACTCCTCTCCAATCTCATTATCTATCTTTCTTTCCTCCACCACTTCAGCCAACCTAGATTTAGCACAGATTCCTTTAATACACCTTACATTTTCCTGGCTCTAGGTCTTAGACCAAATCATCACCCCTTTTCATGCCCTTCACCTGTTCAAACACTGTCCATCCTTAGCTCAAAATAACTCACATGCCTTTTTCCCCATGAAGCTTTTCTTAATCTCACGCACTGGAAAGGACACTTCCTATTCTGAAGTCCAGAGCATTAGTCCATCTCTCTCATAACTCTTATCATTTGACCACGTATCGTGCTGCCTTGTGCATGTATTCTCACTTCATACGCTTTGATGTTAAGACTAGCATTATGTTTTAATTATCTTTACATTCTTCCAAACATGTATTAAAATATTTTCCATATAACAGGTATTCTAATAATATATGTGGCTTCAAAGTCTGACTGCATGCTTCTGCTTTATAGATTGCCAAAACAATGGCATTTCATGAAATGATCTATTGTTGGAAGTCATTATGACCATACATTCCTGTCAATGTCATATAGTACAAGCAGAAACATATCTTCACCAAAATTTTAAACACTACAACTACATACACAAATTACTTATAATCCAATGTCTGCTACAATTTGAATGCAGCATGTTCTTATTAATTGCAATGTTATATTAAAGATGACTTATCTGAGTACTTAATAGGACTTTTTTTTTATTTTTATTCATTTATGATAGTCACAGAGAGAGAGAGAGAGAGGCAGAGACACAGGCAGAGGGAGAAGCAGGCTCCATGCACCGGGAGCCCGACGTGGGATTCGATCCCGGGTCTCCAGGATCGCGCCCTGGGCCAAAGGCAGGCGCCAAACCGCTGCGCCACCCAGGGATCCCCTTAATAGGACTTTTGGATAAGAACAGTAAATGATACTTCAGAAAACAAGCAGAAGTTAACACATTTTTAATTTACATCATTTTAATCCTTCATCAGAGTAAGTACCCCAGCTAATATAACAGCTATCAATAATCATCAATGCTGTTATTATCATAAAATAGATTTCATTTATAACAAGGGTACACAAGTCTCCTCTCTCAGGAATATTTAAATCACATAATTCTTCATCGCCTGCTGTCAGTTCCTTCCTGGGCTTTCACAGACATAATACACACATAGCCTACCAACAGCTGTCCTGCAGACAAAGTGATTTCCGTGCCTTCTCACTGGGTAGAAGCCACCAGATTTCTTTTAAAAATGTATTCTTCTAGCCTCTCTATTCTCACTTATATTATCTCATCTTCACTATAATTATTTCTTAACTTCAGAGAATTTCTGAGCTTTTGTGCTGTTTTGGGTTTTTTGCCTCTTCTCCCTGAATGTCCCCAAATCTCTACCTATTAAAATATATATCTTTTTGTTTAATGTAGTGCGCCTTTACGTGCTGGGTTAACATTAACTGACTTCTTGAGGATTAATTTTCTATCCTTAAACAGTGTTGAGCTCATCTGTGTCACTAGTGGCCCCTTTATGCTTTGATAGGTCAGGAAGGTTTACCCAAAGACTTGAAGAAATAAATTGTGGTCTTCTGAGAAGACACCCACCAATGGTGAACCTGCTCTCATCACTTCTTCATTTTATGAACTGACTTAGGCTGTTATTAATGACTCTCAACTAAAGAGTGAAGCATGCCTTCACAGTATGTATCAAAATTGCTGGCAGGGAAAGAGGATATACAGTTTGGAAAAGTGTATTCAATTTTGTGTTAAAATTTTATTTATAATGTGAAAATATTGTGTTTTTCCCTCCCATTACAGGTATGATCGCAGTTAAGAGTACCTTAAGTTTGGTAGGCAGGAATATGAACTTTAAAGTTAAACTAATAACACTGCTTACTAAACAATAAATATCACTGCATATTACACTATTAATTTGGGTTGTATGGGACAGAGTGCAACGAATAAAAATGTTCAGTATCTTTAAACCAATTTTTACTTTATAGGCCAAACTTATCAAAAATTGCGGCAATATTTTGGGCTTATTATTAAAGAAAATATTTAATAATTCTTTAAATTTACAATTAGCAGAGAAGGAGGGAGGAAGGAAAGGATGAGAGGAAAACAATGTCATCCTATGAAACCAGTGATAAACTAAGCATCATTTGTGCAAGACAATATCAATTAAGAGCATGAACACAATGAATAAATGTACTCACCTCGGTTAAATGAGGATTGGGATTAAAACCACAGAGGCTACATACAGTGGTTTGACACTCAGTGCATGTGTTAAAATTGGCCTTTTCTGGAACATGCAACAGAAGTTCAGTGGTATTGCAAAGAGGACAGATGGTTTTAGGGAGGCCTTGTACTGGAGTCTGTGCTGCAGATGGAGATGATGATGGCTGCAGAGGTTTCCCAGCTCCTGTTTGGCTTATTGGCTTTGTAGATTGCTGAGCTGAAGGCTTTGCTGGGCCAGGCTGTTGAGGAGGGGGTTTTGCTGGACCAGACTGCTGAGGTGAAGGCTTTGTAGAGCCAGGCTGTTGAGGAGGGGGCTTTGTCGGGCCAGGCTGTTGAGGAGGGGGCTTTGCCGGGCCAGGCTGTTGAGGAGGGGGCTTTGCCGGGCCAGGGTGTTGAGGAGGGGGCTTTGCCGGGCCAGGCTGTTGAGAAGGGGGCTTTGCCGGGCCAGGGTGTTGAGGAGGGGGCTTTGCCGGACCAGCCTGATGAGGGGGTTTTGCTGGGCCAGGAGACTGAGCTGGCATTTTTCCTGGCCCAGGCTGCTGAGCCAGAGACTTTGTTGGCCCAACCTGCTGAGATGGAGTCTTTGTAGGCCCAGGTGGCTGAGCCAGAGACTGTGGCCCAGGTTGGTGAGCTGGAGATTTTGATGGCCCTGGCTGCTGGGTTGGGGGCTTTGCGGGCCCTGGCTGCTGAGATGGAAGTTTCTCTGACCCAGTGTGTTGAGCTTGCAGCTTTGCAGGCCCAACAAGCTGAGCTGGAGACTTTGTCCCAGGCTGCTGAGGAGCAGGCTTTGTTGTCCCTGGTGGCTGGGCTGGGGGCTTTGCTGTCCCTGGCTGTTGAGCTGAGGGCTTTGCAGGCCCAGGGTGTGGTGTGGCAACTTTTTCAGGTCCAGATTGCTGGGCTGGAGGTTTTCCAGGACTTGCTTGCTGAATAGGTGGTTTGGATGGGCTTTGCACTGAGGGTTTAACAGATTCTCCCCTCACAGTGTCTGACTGTTTAGTCTGAGGCCTGGTTGCATCTCTTTGAGGTGGCAATTGTGCCTGGTCTGTCTGAGGTGCCTGGGTAAGCCCCTGAATTGGCTTTGCTGTCCCTGGAGGTTGTGATTTCATTTTTTCTGGTTGCTGAGAAGTTACTGATTTGGGAGAGCCATCCTGCTGTGGTGGGACCCTCACAGGTCCTTGTTGCTTAGGACCTGGCTTAGGTGACGGTTGTGATGGAGGCTTTGTGATTCCTTCAGGTTTTCCTTGTTCTTTCTGAGCTATTTTTTGTTTCTTGGCAGTTTCTTCCTGGGATGCATCAGAGTCTGATATCAAATCAAAAGGGTTGAATTTATTTACAACAGAGGAGACAGCACTTAAAGGGTTAACCTCTGAGAGGAAGCCAGGCATCATACCAGACTTGTGCTCTTCCTTCAGATCAGTTCGAGACTTTGATTCTCTCAAGCTAATAGTGGAAGGACTCCGTCCAGGTGACTTCTGCTCTGACCTCAAAGCGTCTGTGGTTCTACTCTTACTGAGACCAGGCTGAGCTGAACGTCCAGGGTCTGGCGGTTTTCCTGGTTGCTTTGGAAGATGACTACTATCCAATTCTTGCTTCCTGGAAGAGTGAAACAAAAAGAAGTAAAAATAATGGAAAATAACTCAAAGTAATATCAATGAGCCATTGCTTTCTTAGGGCCTCAAAATTATGCAGGTATAAATATACCTAGAACCCATTTTTGCAGCATCCTATCATTAAATGTGTTAAGTCTTTGTTACTTTCTTAACATGGGTAGAGATTTTCAACAACGTAAACAAAAGGGGAAAAAATCAATACTTGCTACTGTAAGTGACAAAAAATTAAGATATCTAGTTAGACATTACTTATAATAGTTTTCATTTACACTTAATAGAATCTGGCCATTCTTAAAACCTAATTAAATATATTAACTCAATAAATCAGTGCAGGGCTACGTTCTAGTACATTCATGTTTGAAGAATATTATTCTTCCAAATACTAACAGCACCGAGAATTAAAACTATTCATTTTAAAAGGTGGGAGCATGTTGCAATTGTTTTCGTTTGTTTTAGTTGATTACAAGAAGTTACATTACTCATATGAGGCACACATGACATCATGGAAGGTTTTAGTAGAGGAGGTTACTTGATGCATTTCCAGGGACTCTGAGAAAGTTGATAATCTATTCAATTTTACCCTGTTACTCTAAAAAGATAATATCCCTCAAATATTATCCTTATTAAACTTTTTAAAATGAGAAGTACTACTTTAATTAGAAATTTTTGAGAAACAATTTCGTATTTCTTCTAGAAGAAAACTGTTGTCATTTTTTTCCCAATAGCTAATTCTTAATATGAGATCTCTATGCAAAATACAGATAGACACTTAAAGAATCTTGAGATTCTTTATCTGGCATACAGATAGCAACAGCTGGTTGTGTCCTCATTTGTGAAAGCATTGTTACTTTTCTCAGAAGAAGAAAACATAATAATCTCTTTACTGAATGTTTTCTATAACATTCACTATTGCCACGGTGAGATTATTGGTAATTTTATAATAAAATTGACAAAGACTTAAGACTGTAACTAATGTGCAAAATTTCTTTTAATGCAGAGACAAACATACATGATGAAGTTTTTAAAATAGTTTTGGAAACGTGATCACGTTTAAATGACTATGATTAAATAATTAAAATAGCTGATTTCTTATACTTTTAACCAAAAATTAAATACATTAATTTTTTTAAATAAGCCATTCTTTACTGATTAAATCACAACCAATAGGAATAGGCTGTATTGGAATTACATAAAATTACAAATATTTCATTTGATATACGAAACTTTTTAATTTTAGAAAAAGATTTTTTGATTAAAAAGAGAAAGTTATTCAGCATCACTGAAAATATGAGATGATCACAATAAAGTTCTACAGGTTTCAATTTGTTTTGTGAAAACTTACCTGCTAATAGGCCAGATTATAAATTTTTAATTTCTTTTTTTTTTTTAAGATTTTATTCTATTTATGAGAAACACAGAGAGAGGCAGAGACATAGGCAGAGGGAGAAGCAGGCTCCATGCTAAATAGCAAAAAATCAAAAGCAAATAATCTATAAAAGCCATTATATGCAAAAAGTGATATTCTAATAAAAGGTGAAAAAAGAACTCTTAGTTTTGGCAATTTCCTCCAGGAAAAAAGTTGCAAAAGCTTCAGATGACTTAAACAAGGAACTAAAATTATTACCCTAATTAATTCCAACAGTTCTAAAGTATCTTTTAAAATACTATATTTCCACTTGGGGAAAATAATTTTGAATGTTTCTTTACTGACCATTCTATGTGTTCCCTTTCACAGGAAGATAGACGAGCTATACTAAACAACCTAAAATGGATTTCAAAAATTTCATTGTATAGATCTTCACATTATTCTAAAAATGTTCCACACTCAATTAATAAAATCTACCACTCCGGTGAAGGGCACATTCTCAGGAACTGCATTTCAGAAGTATCTATCTTATAAGTAATCATTTAAGTATCTTATTAAACTGGTTCCCTTGTAGAGTCCTAGAGACCTATATTTAAAGAGTACCAAAAAAAAAAAAAATCTACTCTTAATTTAACTAAGTTATTTTCTTGAAAATACCATTAAACTTAATCATTAGTTTTGTGTTGTTTCACATAATCCAACAATTATACAAAAAAAAAGCTTTGTGAAAATGAAATATTTGTGGTACCAACACCAAAATTTAAATCTGCTTACAGCAGAAATTATAATTGCATGTACCTCCTTACAAATATGTTATACAATAAAATCCCCATGAAAATACTGATACAGCTATAAAGATGCCCCTACAATTTAAACTAATTTTAGCTATTAAACATGGAAATATGGATACAAGAAATAGATAATAACTAAAAGAATATATAGGCTTAATACTGAACAAAAAATATAAAGGTGTCTCAGCTAATTGTGGTCTTTTGATGAATTTTTGTTTGGTGTAACATTCTGTTAAAAAGAAAAATAACTAAAATGCAATCTGTGTCTTATAATACTAGACTGTAATCTCCTAGATAATCTATTTTTCATCACCAAAACCAAACCTGTTAACTAGAGCTTTGGTGTTTGATGAATGAATGGATGAATAACAATGAATGAATGAATGAATGAATGAATGAATGAATGAAACAGGTTTTTGTTTTATGCTAGATTAATGTTTCTTGAATTTTTTTCAAATTCTTCACAGTCCTGAGATATAAGTGAAACATTCTACATCCATTTTAGAACCTGGACTTGGCCTGCTACTCTAGGAAGAAAAACAGTTGTGGAGTTGTCTACCAGTAGGAGAGGCCCAAAAGAATACTGAAGAAAATAATGGATTCAGTCAGAATTCCTAAAAAATATTCTACGAGTCAGAAGCATTTTTCAGTACAGCCCTTCTTATATCTGTAGCTGTACACAGAATGAGTAGAACAAGTGATAAAATTTCCTTTCCCTGGGTCTTCAATAAATCAAAAATCCAGAAGCATTTTGTTTGTAACCTGTAACTTCTAGCTTATAACAACCCACGTTTTATACAACCTCCTTTTTCATGACTACTATCATCACCTGATTAAAATTTGCCTTTTACAGATTAGCAGAAAAAATATTTCAGTTACAAATGAGGCAAATGTGTTCACATAGAAGAATGTAAAAGCAGTTGGAAAGCTAAAAAATAATTTTTAATGGAGCACAACAGGCAATGACACTTAAGAGTGCTGAGTCACATAAATTTTTTTTATAAAATTTTTTGATATTAGAAATATAAGCAACTTGGGAAATAGCTATTCATTTTTATAATGCAGAAGTTACTAGGGCTTTAAAACACTAAGAGATTCATCCAAGGTTATAACTAGTTAGTCACAGACATCTGGTATCCAGACTCCAGGTGGAGGTGGGAAGGGAAGTGGGAGTCTCACTACATTGCACTTTTCCATATGTTTAAAAAAAAAAAAAAAAGGTATGAGTTATTTTGATGTATCTAATGGTGAAGAATTCAACATACAATTTGTCTGGAGCCATCATTGCCAATGCCATTCACTGCTGATACTGAGATTACTACTCTTGATATTTATAGTTCTTCCAATTAGAATTCAAAGAAAAACATCCCTGTCAATTTCCAACTAATCCTCTCAATGATTCTACAATATAGGTAAGACAAGTGTCATGTGCCATATTTGGAGGCAAGGAAACTGAGGCACCTATGGCTGAGAAGCATACATAATTTGTCATGAGTCTGTTAAAATTAATAGGATAAGAACCTAGTTCTCTGGGCTCTCAACCCTTATTTGAGATTAAAAACAAAATGCCATGTCTAATTGACACAGTTAACCTCTTCAAGCTAAATAATTTGGAGATACTTTCTTGTATATTCTTAAGGTAGTTTGCTTCTAAAAATCGAAATGATAAACCAAGTGTTTCTTTGGTTATCACATACAGGGATAATATCTTTCCAAAAATTATGTACCTTTTATAAAAATCTTTCACGAAAATATATGCAGGTTTCAAAAATCAGAAGCATATTGTTTTAAATAGTTAGATGAAGCTTTCACCAGTAATCGTTGAGGCCACAGAATAATCTATTAATAAAAATTCTACTATTACAAAATTATCAGTGCAGAATCCAATATAAGTACAGCATAAAACCACAGTTTCACGGGCTGAAATAGTATTTTTAAGTCACCATCTGAATAGAAAAAAATAATGTAGATATAAAAGCTCACACTTTTTCTTGGTCTGTGTAACCAGCATTCTAAACCTGTTGCATGTACCCCTTAGGAAAAACTGTAGAAGAGCTGGCATATATTTCTAAAAGGCTAATAAAAAGTATTATACCTCATTATTACCCTATGAAAATCTAATATATGAATGTTCAAAATTTTTTTTCAAGTCAGGTTTTCATCAGTAGAGAAAAATGGTACATATCATAAACTGTCATAGTTAAGGTAATGGATAAAAAAAAAAAAGGCTTTATACCAAAGAAATAGCCCCATATATTACTAGTTTGAAAACACAGAAAGCACATTGAATATATAGGAGCAACTTCTTACTAGTAGCGGTGGCTTCAAGAACATAGGATTTTCAGCTGATATATTCCAAGTATTTAAGATTTTATGTTAAAAATATCGCAACTATCCATTACACTTCTATGTCAAATTTAAATAATTACCTGGCAAGGTATATATATATATATTATATATACTGCATACTATATACATATATATACTTATATGATAGTTTCCAAGTTAAAATACTTTTATGAAGTAGAGGATGAGAGCTTACACCTACAACATGCAGATCTTTCGTATTTGCAAGATCTCAAATGAAAACTGTAGGTCTCCGTCCAGTTACAAGGAAGGACTGGCTTCAGCACCATGGACAGAGAACCGTTCTCCAAGGGAGGGTGTAAAGTTAAAGGGTTTGTTTACAATGAAAAAGGCGAGGCAGGCACAGTGATTACAGCCTCTTAGTGCTCTAATTAGAAAACAACTAATTCATTAGATGAAGGAAAATGGAGAGCTAGAGAGGGAAATTAATACGTTAATATCACAGACTAGCTCTTAATTGCCCGTGCAAGTAGTCATTCTTTTGCTTTGCCTTGAAAAGTATGTATTGGAAACTAATTTTAAGGCAACACAAATGCACACGTTTTTCCACCAACTAGGGTACTGTTGCATATAAAAGAGCAATAGTTTAAAGAACAGCATATGCTAATTCAGAAATACACGTACAGCACCTGCTCTGCTGCGACCAAGCCATCTGTTTAAAGCCACGACGTATTTTAGGGTCTGTCGTGGACTATATAAAAGGTGCCTTCCTTCCTTCCTTCCATGCCTTCCACCTCGGCAGCTCCTGTTCTGGGGCGGGGGGGGGGGGGGGAGGGTCACCTCCGGGGACTAAAGGTATCAGGCAGGGATATTTCAGGCATCATCCACAGGGCGAACCTGCCGGAACGCCCGGGCGCCGCGACATAGCGGGCACCCGGCCCTCCCGGCTCCCGCGCGTCCCTGCTCCTGCAGAGGGCTCCCGGGCCCGGGACACACTGCGGGCCGTCCGTGCTCGGCTCCGAGGGGCGGACGCCGCGGCCCCGGCCCCGGCCCCGGCCCCGGCCCCGGCCCCGGGAGCCGCCTGCGCCGCGCCGCTGCCCACCCGCGGCCCCACACCGGCGGCGGCGCCGCGCAAGCACCGCCCGCCCGCGCCCGCCGGAGCCACCGACCGCCCGGCAGATGCATCATGCTTTGCGTGCCTGTGCAAGGGAGGCGGCTCCGCCGCGGCCGGGGCCACGCTTCCCGGGGGCAGCCCCCGCGCCCTTGACAGGACGGCGGCGATCTGCCGGCGCTCCTCGTCGCTCAGCCGGCTCAGGTCCGCCTCCACGCCCGCCGGGCCCGCGGCGAGCGGGCAGCTCCCCGCCCCGTCGGCCCCGCCGCCGGCCGCCGCCGCCGCCGCCGCCGCCGCCAGCCCCTCCGGGAGCCCGGCCCCTTCCAGGCTCGCCTCGTTGCCCATGGCTCGGGCGCTCGGACGCCGCGCTGCCTCCTGGCGCCGCGGGGAAGCCCGGGGCCGCCGGGGACCGCCGGGGCCGCGCTCGGGCCGCGGAACGCCGGGCGCGCGCTACTCCCGCTCACAGCTCACGCCCGCGGCCGCCTCCATGGCGCCCCGCTCCCCGCAGCCGCGCCGCCGCCCCGACCCGGAGAAGCGCGTCTAAGCCGCGCCGCCCGCCGCCGCCCGCCGCCGCCGCGCCGCGCCCCGCCCCCCCCCCCGCCGTCCCGCCGCGCCCCGCCCCCGCCGCCGCCGCCGCGCCCCGCCCCCCGCCGCCGCCGCCGCGCCCCGCCCCCCGCCGCCGCCGCGCCCTCCCAGTGCGCACGCGCCGCTCGGAGCAGGGGACGGCCGCGCCCGCCCCGCCCGCTCCCGCGCCCGCTGACCCCCGCCCCCCCCCCCCCCCCCGCCCAGGAGCCGGGAGCCCGCAGCGAGCGCGGGGCGGAGCAGTCGGCCTTTCTCTCCGGCCTGTGCCGGGAGCCACGACCTGCGTCCCCCTGGCGGGGCGGGAGGGCCGCCGCTGGGCCCTTCTTTGGATTCCTGGGATCTGTAGTTCCAGTTGTTTTTTTTTTTTTTTTTCCCCCTTGCGAGAGGGTTTTAAAGGTGTTAGGAATGGATTCGGGTAGCTGGAGATGAACCTGTGACGCCTTTGGGGCTAATTCCCGCAAAGCAGCTAAAACTGGAGCTTTGCCTTGAGGGCTCCTGCAGACTGATCACCTGGGCACCTTAGGGGCGGCAGCAGCAGGCAGGCAGGCAGCGACCGCCGGTGCCTGGGGCGTCTCTAAGGGGCCGCACTACATAGAGGGTCCTGGGGAGCGCGCTGGGCCAGTGCAGCAAGATTCGGACTCCAGAATATTAAGAGGTTAAAGTGGTGTGAGGTTTGGAGAACATGGACTCAGTCCCGTTTGGGGTACAGGCTGGACAGAAGAGCCCAGACGTCCGGTTCCCTTGCGCAGACGCAGCAGGCCAGCCGCGGAGACACCTGAGGACCCCCTGGACCCACCCGCGAACCGTCCCCGCCGCTGCATCTCCTGGAAGGGGAGGCTTCAGGGCAGCGCTGCGTCTGAGCCCAAGTTTTGCCAACGACCTCTGCTAACAAAATGGACCTGATGTCCCCATTATTGACGTTCAAGAAAATCAAAAGCTAACACCTGGGAACAAATAAATACACAGAAATGAATAAATTGCTCAGAGACTTTCCAAGTTTTTACGATGATCATGATAATACTTTAATAATTTGCATTCCGGGATCCCTGGGTGACGCAGCGATTTGGCGCCTGCCTTTGGCCCAGGGCGCGATCCTGGAGACCCGGGTTCGAGTCCCACGTCGGGCTCCCGGTGCATGGAGCCTGCTTCTCCCTCTGCCTGTGTCTCTGCCTCTCTGTGTGTGTGTGTGTGTGACTATCATAAATAAATAAAAATTAAAAAAAATAATTTGCATTCCGCTTATATCAAAACCAAAAAACGGCACCATTACAACAGTGTGTGACTTAGCGCTGCTTTTCAAAGACGTCTAGTCGCCAGATGAAGTATCATTAGTGGTTGGGTTCCTACAAAACCTTTGCATACACTTTCTCTTAAACACGCTGAGATAGGACTTTACTGAGATATGACTTGCAAAGTCAAAATGGAAAGAGCCAGACATTTAAATAAAGACAGTGTTTTCCCCTCACACAAACAAAGGACAGGAGGCAACCTGACATTCTGATGGCCACACCTGGAGACAAATACACTATCATCATAGTTCCTGGAAATGAGTTAGCTTCAAAAAAGGAGATAATTGGTACATAACTTGGAATCTCTGGCAAAATGAGTAACAGCTCCAATGCCTAAACAGCCCTATGAATCACTAACACTGGATGGAGACGAGGAAGAAGATTCACACGCTGGTTATTTTCCTATAACATGCTCAAGTTATGTAAAAATAAAATACATTTGATGTATTGAAATCCACAAACCACAAGCTTAAAGAAATAAGATCAACCCTTTCAAAGTCTAGCCTCAGGATAATGATGAAACTACAAAACAGATTGTTAACTATATTCTCTCCCATTATAGATGGCAAGGAGCCTGTAAAGTAGTAACAAATGATAATCAATATGCAAAGGAATGTGCACAGACTAAATAAAAAGTAATAATTTGTAAGATGGGATCTTATAGCCCATCGTGAATACATGCGCATTCACCTTCTCCTTCCCTCCTCTCCCAGGAGCAATCATCATCAGAAAACAGGAAAATGGGATGGATGGTAGAAAGAGTAAATGGACTGTGAAGTGGAAACATTTTGGTTGTTGAGGTTTTAAAATAATTTTGCCCTTAGGACCTTTATGCCTGTGAGTTTCAAAAAGTATTTCTTTTTTCAGTCTTCCATTTGGGCTTAACAGTTGCTTGTGCTTGGGAGGTGTTTCTGATCTGAAGAAAATACCAGAGCAGAAGCCAGGTGCATTACTTGCGTGTGAATTCTCAGAATTCTGGGGGTACAAAAAGTTAAATGTTATAGATGATTTTATCTGTACTTTCTCTACTTGCTTACCCAGGAAAATATCACAATTAGTTTTATTCTGCAAATTAACTAATGGTGCTATATTCAAAGTGTTTGTTGCTCTCTATTCATTTGAATTTAGATTTAAGAAGCTGATAGTTTGGCTCCAGTTCACTCAGTCTGATAGGCAGGTCATGAAATTAATTAATTTTTGAAAACCTCCACTCCTATATACCATTATGTCTTTCTAAAATGACTCATAAACTCTCGAAAGTCAGGTATTTTCCTTTGTTTACCTTTTTTGTCTCACTTTCCCATGTAGTTCCTATTTTAGTCGATTAGAACCAATCTAAATGTGATAATTAACAATTAAATATGATTAGATAATGAATCCTTGGAATGAAATTGCCCAGTCTACCCATGTCTTTACAGATATCACTCAACCTAGGATTAAATCAAATAGACCATCTTGTGTGTCACATGTGCAATACTTGAATAAATTCAGGATTTGCAAAAATTAAAGTTAGAATAATCTTCACCAATATAGAAGAATGTGTAGTCTTACTAGTCTTTAAAAACCTACAATTAAACAATCTTCATATAATTTAATTTAGCCTTTTAATTAAAAATAATAACATATTAAACTCTATTTTGTAAGCAATTATCTGAATACTGGCTTAATTATTAAATGCCCATTACACACTGAGGGGGACACTTGACGGGATGAGCACTGGGTGTTATTCTGTATGTTGGTAAATTGAACACCAATAAAAAATTAATTTATTAAAAAAAATAATAATAAAAAATAAAAAAATAAATGCCCATTACATCCATATTAAAACCATTATTATAGCACAAGTGAATCTTTTATAAAATAGGCTTTATGAAATATCATAAGCTAAATTTGAGAGTATATAAATTCGACCTTTACAGAAAATAATTTAGCAATACTTATCAAGAGCCTTAAAAGAGTCATAATCTGTGATACACTTCTGGAAATCAGTCCTAAAGAGATCGTTTGAGTTATAAAACCAGTTTGTGGGAAAAAAAAATGCTCACTTGAGTATTCTTTATAATAGTAATAAATAAAAAGCCATTACTGCCTCAATAAACGAGAATGGAGAAGTAAAATCTGATGCAACCAGATGAATGTATTTTATGAAATATTTAAAACAATGTTTTTAAAGAGTTTATTACAACATAGGAAAAATTTCACAAAGTATACATGGGATAATTTTTCATAAAGTTATGTGATCACAATTCTGCAAAAAAATTAAAATACTCTAATGCGGGATCCCTGGGTGGCGCAGTGGTTTAGCGCCGGTCTTTGGCCCAGGGCGCGATCCTGGAGACCCGGGATCGAATCCCACGTCGGGCTCCCGGTGCATGGAGCCTGCTTCTCCCTCTGCCTGTGTCTCTGCCTCTCTCTCTCTGTGTGTGTGACTATCATAAATAAATAAAAATTAAAAAAAAAAAAGCTTTCCTTTAAAATAAATAAATAAATAAATAAATAAATAAATAATAAATAAATAAATAAATAAAATACTCTAATGCATAGGAAAAAAAGCCAGGAAATAAGTCAAATCAACCAACAAACAAAACCCATATATATTTAATGGGAGGATCATAGACAATATTACTTTTCCTAATTTTTTATAATTTTCAAATTTTCCAGAATGAATGTGGATTTCTTTTTATGATGTAAGAGCACCAATAATTATGACTAATCATTTTAAAACAACAGAAATAATGGAACCTGTTAAGCTAGATAAGCAAAATGCTAACATCGTTTTGTGACAAATACCTATGAAGAAACTGGAAAAAGAAAATGCCGTGGCATAAACCCTAACAGTGATTTCATGTGATTAGGTGAGTGATAAAATGCAAACTATTCTTAAACTTTCTATATTTAAAAGATCATGAATTTTAGTGTACATGTGCAAGTATATATTCATGTGTAAATATAGACAGTATGACATTATTTTTATATAGGCACTTTTTTTTTAATGTTCCTTCTCTAATAGAAGATAAGAGAGACTTGTGTTAATTTTGTGGAGCAAGGACCTGCAGTGGTTTAAGGTCTGACTTCATTTTTTGCTATGGTTGATCTGCTTCTCAATTGCAGCTCTAAGCCATTTTTGTTAGCTTTGCTTTAAAATGAGATTTGCAACTACAGAGGAGGAAATTCAAGTGAGATTGCAGTTGATTATGAACCAGCTTCTCAATTTTGAGGGAAAAAACATGAGAAGTATTTTAGAAAAAAGTTTGATAAATTTATTTTTGAATTCTGACATCTGGACTATCAGGCAGTTGTTTTTGTTTTTTTTTTCTTTTTCCCCTTCATACTTACTCTACAGCAAATCTGTAATTTAAGATAAAAGAAAAAGTTACTTGTATTTAAAATATGTTCCTATAGACATAGGCTGTATAAAATCTTAAGAATAAAATTAGTTACTATGCCACCTTACATAAATTGAAAATTACTAAG